GCGCTATCAGCGTGACGTCACACAGGCTTCGCATGACACCACACACTACAAGGAGGTACTTGGCTCGGAGTGGTGAAAAGTTTTTCTTTTGGAGAAGACCGTTTCGCAGGAAGTGCGACGCAAGTGTCGCTTGAATACCTTCGGGACTTCGGTGGTCCTGTCTTCGAGGTATTCTATTTGGGCCTTAAGCTCCGGGTCGGCCCGCTGTCGTTCAGCGAAGTCGTCGGCAGTTATCGTTCTCAAGAAGTAGTCGTCATCCGGGTCGTCGGGTGGTGGTTGGTCGACAAGCGCACGAGAGAGACAGTCAGCGTCGGAGTGTTTCTTGCCGGACTTGTAAACGATGGTAATGTCATATTCTTGAAGTCTCAGGCTCCATCGTGCGAGGCGACCTGAAGGGCCCTTCAAGGTAGCTAGCCAACACAAGACGTGGTCGTCGCTCACAACTTTGAAGGGCCTGCCGTAGAGGTAGGGGCGAAATTTCGACGTAGCCCAGATGAAAGTGAGGCACTCCTTTTCTGTTGTGGAATAATTGGCTTTTGCTTTGGATAGCGATCTGCTAGCGTGACTAATAACCCTTTCAAGTCCGTCAGTCCTCTGCACAAGAACGGCGCCGAGACCTACGCTTCTTGCGTCAGTGTGTATTTCTGTCTCAGTGAATTCGTCGAATTGGGCAAGTAACGAAGGCATCTGGAGGCGATGTTTAAGCTCCTGGAAAGCGTGTTCCTGCGGTGTGTCCCACTTGACCTCCATGTCGGCCTTGGTAAGGTTAGGTAAGTGGATCGGCCTTGGTAAGTGGATCGGCGATGCGGGTGAAGTTTTTCACGAACCGCCTGTAATAGGCGCACAGGCCCAGAAATAAAGGCACCGCCTTCTTGTCAGTGGGCGGCGGGAATTCAAGGCCTTCCCAAGCTGTCCTAACTTACTTCAACTTCGCGGCCAACGGCCCACTGATGACGGAATAGTCGGCTCCAGTATCGACGAGAGCGGTCACACTGTGGCCGTCGATAAGAACGTCGAGGTCGCTAGTTCGCCATCTCGTGTTACAGTTAGAGCGTGGCTAGGGTCACGGCTGTGTCGGCTTGTTCCGCTGCTTCCATGTTGCGTCGTCAGGTCACCTTCGGTAAGTGAGTGGTCGCCGTCATGACATTGCCTAGTTGGCGTCGTGTTCGAAAAGCCCCACGGCGGCGGCGTTGTCGGAAGATCTTTGGTAGTTCGTCGCACAGCAACCGCACCTCCATCGCTTGCTACCCTTAGTTTCCCGGATACAGGCTAAGAGACCGGCCCCGCGTTCTTGCCAGATTACTGCCGGTGGTGCGATGACATGTGACGGCTGGGCGACGGTGAACGGTAAGGACTTCGTGGTGTCCACTGAGTTCCTGTCAGGTAGTCGGCGATATCATGTGGCCATTCCCCTGGCTGCGGACGTGGTGCATTGACGGCGAAGCCACGCAGTCCCATCTGTCGGTACTGGCGACGGCGGTATTTGTGCCCGTCTTCGCCGCAGTGGTAGCAAAGCGAACGGTTGTCAGGTGCACGCCAAACGTCTCTTTTCCTCCGCGCACTGCACTGGCCCGCTGGCGAACGGTAGGACAATCGTAGGGGTGGTGGCGGCGGTGGCGTCTGGCGATGGAAGTGCGATGGGGTGGCGTTTTGGCGTGGACGAGGAAGAGCGTTGTGCCGGCGGGCTGCAGCAGCATAGCTCATAACTTGCAGCTGCGGCTCTTGAGGCTGAGGAATGCCCAGCGATTGCTGGATCTCCTGGTGTACGACGTCCGCAATGGATTCCACGTGAGGCTGCACTGAAGGAAGTAATTTTCGCAGCTCTTCTTGCACAATCGCTCGGATCGTCTCACGCAAGTCAGTTGTTCCTAGCGCTTGAATGCCGGCGTAGCTTGTAGACGAAAAGCTACTGTTATATTGTTGCATGCGCATCTCGGGCATCTTCTCTATCGTAGACGCTTCTGAAATGAATTCGGTGACCGTCTTTGGCGGGTTTATGATCAGCCCGACAAAGAGTTCTTGCTTTACTCCTCCCATGAGAAGAGGAACCTTCTTCTCCTCGGACATTTCGGAGTCAGCGTGGCGGAAGAGTTTAATTATATCTTCCGTTAATAGCGCCATGTTTTCATTTGGCATCTGCATGCAGGTTCCTCACCACACTTGCAAAAGTGGTGAGGAACTTGGTGCGAAAGACATCCCACGTTGTAAGGCTACGCTCTTAATTCTCAAACCAGGTTCGAGCAGCATCTTCTAAGGCGAAATACACATGCCGGAGCTTGTCATCGCCTGTCCAGTCATTGAAGGCGGCGACGTGGTTGAATCTTTCGATCCAGCTTTCCGGGTCTTCCAGTGGCGAACCGCGGAAAGTTGGCGGCTCTTTGGGTTGCCGGAGCAGGAGTGGGGCAGGTGGAACACGCGCTTACATGGTCGCCGTGGTCGACGTCAACGTCTTGGTTTTCTGAGCCTTGTCCAGTAAAAGCCCGTACTGCGGTGGAAGACCTTGTTGCGGTGGCAGACCTTGTTGCATGTGGCTAACTCACTGCTCGTTGCTGGCATCGGTGTCTTCACGGCATGGGCTGGGTGCACGGCTTGACGGAGGCGTCCGGTACGTGGAAGAAACAGCACCTCCACCAGATGTCACGGGGTTCCGACGTGGACGAATGAAGCACACTGCGAGTCAAATAATAAATTGTTTATTTGGGTGAACCTGTGCCCAGTAAACGGAAAGTCAGACTACAGTAGCAGTCTTGGACTGATAGCGACGAACGGAGCGTCAGCCGTCGATCAACTACTCACAAGCGGCAAAGTGCGTCGGCATTTATACTCTTGCCATCGAATGTTCTAGCGTTATCGCTGGCGGTGACGTAGGTTTCAGAATAATCTGTACAGTTCACGGAGTGGGCGTGATCTTATCGAAATTATCTACTACAGTCTTGAAGCTTCTCGAAACTGCAGGAGCGATTTGCGCTGAGAATTGCGTGGTGTATTTGGGGAGATTAGAAAACTTGAGCAATGGAACAAGGCAATATGTACGCTAATGGATGAAAAAACAAATTCTTGCTAAAATACAATAACAGTTACTATAAATAATATGAAGTATTATGAAGTTAATAAATGCAAACAAATGCGAGGCTTTTTTGAATATTTTGAGGGATTCATTCTGATATCCTGAGGCAAAGAATTCTAGAAGGATACAGAGCAAACTTTTAACATTGGAGGAAGGCTGGTAACCAACCAGGCTAATCATTAAAAGTAAAAATTGCGCCCCGACCTTTCTGGTTCAACTTGGACTCTTCTCAGAGGTGAAATTTAGAGGCAAACTTGCCATATTTATTTATTATTTGTTTACACAAACGATAATTGTAACATTATGTTGTACAAATCAAATGCAAGTGCAGTAAAACAGATTATGCAATTTACAGATATTAGGTAGGATGATCAACAAAAAACAACAGTGTCACATTGCTGATGAAATAAAAGAAGAAGAAAATCACAGTATATCCACGGAGCTACTGATAATGAGTGGGCCGAAGTGTCCATGCATGAGTCCATGCATCTGACCGCATTCGAGAATGCAGACAGCGCACGGGCAACATTGATGAGACAAGAGCCAAGGAAGCCGAACGCAAGCGTTTTCAACGCGCCCACCACTCTGCTTCGCCCACGCCCCACCAACGATCCGCCATGTACAGTGACTATCCAGGAAACTGAGAGAGGCGCTCGTTTTCCATGCCTCAGGCAAAGCGCGTGCAGCAGACAGTTGTAGAGTAGGGGCACTCTGGAGAGTAGGGGCAGAGTAACGCCATCTAGGAAATGAGACGACAAATGGTCATTCATTTCTTATTGCCTTCTTTTCTTTCTCGTCTTTTCTTCTCTCGGTTACGCGTGATACGTGGCAAGGTTAGACTAAGAAGAGTTTTGCTCCTAAAACGAGAAAAGAGGGAATCTTGGGTGCATTAGCTCTCATGATTCATAAGTGAAGTGTTTGTAGGGGGTCCGTCCTATGTACGGCTAATGCAGAAGCCTACAGCTAATGTTCCAGCCGCACGCAGTCGTATTGTGCACAATTAACGTCCATAGCTTGTCTATTAATTAACGTCCATAGCCTATCCATAGCTTGTCTCATTGCAGCTACACGGGTTCGGGCGAATAAGGCAACAGGCTTGGTCAACAACACACTTTTTTGCTATACATTAGTAATAACGTGTAAATGTCGTCAGGAGATACTACATAAAACAAGGGCAGATGCTTACTCCTTGGTCGTTGTCGTCCTCGGCTGACAGGGGGTTGTGGGTTCAACCTCCTTTATCCTAGGCTGGTGTCAGAGAAAGCGCGGCCGTCCGCACACTTTGTTCACTTATCCGGTTTTTCTTTTCCTGACGAAGGTTTGTTCGTTCGCTGATGGAGTGAAACCCGTTCTGTGCGCCAGGAAAAGGGGAATCGCAAGCGCTGGCCGCAGGGGTTCTCCATCCCTTCGCAAGAAGCTTTGTTGACTTGTACCTAAAGGGACAGATATGTCCTCGCGAGTAGGCTGTCGCACGGCCGTAGTAGGGAAAGGGTGGCGGGGTGCAGGTGCTCCCCCACACAGTTAATAAGATGTTCGCAAAGTTTATTGTGATTACACTGAAGGGTGGTGCTGTTTGAAAGTTCGTTCCACAGTCGTAAGGCATGAGGAAGTGATGGCTAGTTATATTCTGTTTGCATTCCGTGGCATGAGGACGATAGCAAAAATAGCTTTTTTTTTTTCACTCCTGGGTCCTGGGTTTGGGTGACAGGAAGTTATGAGCTTTTGCAAAACGAGTTGATGCCTGAGAAAACTGACTGCAGTGTAATTCAGGATGGGTAAGTTTTGCATTCCCCAGTTTACAAGTAATCTTAAATTATATAGTAAGATTGTTTTGGTAGCTGTCCGTGAGAAGAGCCGAACGTCGCCATTTCGTCAGCGCTTGAATGCAACTGTACTATAGTGGATAAGAGGTGACGGGGGTGTGTGTGTGCAGGTACGTCATGGATGAGTTTGGCAGCAGCATCCAGCACGAGAGCAGCCAGCCGAGCTTCCGCTGTGTCCCCTTCTGCCAGCTGCCCCAGAGGGAGACCTACAGCGTCCTCTTCCCCATCAGGGACATCGCCTGCGGAGGTTAGTGTTAGCCAAAGATGCAATGTAGCACAAAACCTGCAGGACCGCTCGAATTAGCGTTATGCGGGTTTCAAGTAAGACTGCGCCTCGAATTTATTGTAACTAGAATAAGAAAAAAAACTGCCAAGCTGTTATGTTGGGGACAAAAAGAAAGAAGACACAAGCACAGCTCGCCTTCATAAAGTGGGAAATTCAATCTCTTCACAGCTCCTTTTCATCTACATTCTAGTTGGGGTGGCCTTGACAATTAACAATTTTCAAAGAGCAATCCCACAATAATGAAAGAGTAAGATAGTGATTCGCAACATTTTTTTCAACCCATGAGGTAGTCCAGAGCCCAGAAGTTTGTAAATTGCAGCACTGCTCATTTGACAAGTCGGGCGCATACATTTCCTCCAGCAGTCACCGGTGCAATCATTGCTGTTTACATTTAGTAGCATAATGATGATGATAGCAGCAATAGCTTTTTAATTTTACTTTGAACTGTTTGTTGCTAACACCTCTGTTGGCAACCATGTTGATACCTGAGGTTTCTAGCATTGACACCCACAAAACACAGTGAGAGTGTGCTCAAGGATTGTAAGTGTTACGTCGTGAGTGAACGGCTCAGTGGCCAAGCAAGAACAAGGAAGGTTTATTTTGCGTGTCTCGCTTTTATGTGCTCGGCGATGGCGATGACGTCATGACATGATTGGCGACACGCTTGCATGACGTAGCACTTCTCCCCCTTTTACCAGTTGAACCTTTGAGGTGGTCGCTGTAGCCTGTTCGCCGTAGCCTTTGAGGTGGTCGCCGTAGCCTTTGAGGTGGTCGCCGTAGCCTGAAGCGGCGGCGGTGCCTGAGGTTGACTAGAGGGCGGCGGCCCCGCCGGCGTGGGGTCAGCCATGCCGGCTGGCATCGGCGAGGTTTCGTTAGCGGTGGTGGTGGATGTTGTAGCGCCCCCTGGCTGCATCGTGTTCGAGTCCTTCAGAGTGCGCAGCCGCAGTTGGTCCGCATGACGACGTTGCTCGCCGTCCGGCGTAGACACAGTCGCCGTCCGAGCCCCTTGGGTACTGGTGACCACTCCCGGCAACCATTTTGGCCGGCTGTGGAAACTTCTCAGCCACACCGGCTGTCCTGCACAGAACGGCATGGTGGAGGAGCGCTCTTCAAGACGCGGTTCCCCGCCTGCACTCGGGAGGCAACAGTCTAGCCTGATCCGTAGCTGATAACCCAGCAGTAGTTCGGACGGAGACTTCCCAGCCTTTACCGGTGTCCGTCGGTATCCGCATAAAAACTGACTGAGACGTTTAATGAATGTGCCACCCCCTTGGCTTTTTCAAAGGCCTTCCTTGATCGTGCGAACCGCGCGTTCCGCCAGGCCATTTGACTGCGGGTGGTAAGGTGCCGTCGTCACGTGGTTGATCCCGTTCATTCTTACGAACTTCTGAAACTCGGCTGAGATGAACTATGGCCCATTATCTGAAACAAGTGTATGTGGCAGTCCGAACCTGGCAAATATGGGCCTCAACGCTTCCACATTGGCTTCTGATGTCGAACTCCGCCTCGATATGGCCTCCAGCCACTTTGTTTCAGCATCTACGACCACCAGCAGCATGTGTCCTTCGACGGGGCCTGCGTAGTCGATGTGCACTCGAGACCATTTCCGGCCCGTTTCTGGCCATGGCGCCAGAACCTGCGCAGGAGGCATTGCACTGGTTTGAGCACACCTCTCACATTCGCGTTTCATTCTTTCGGTATCGGCATCCAGCCATGGATACCAAAAAATGATTCGAGCAAGGTTTTTCATTGCCGCCATCTCTGGATGTGTTTCATGTAGGAGCCTCAAAAGACTCCCAGCAGCCGCTGATGGCACTACTATTCTATGTCCCCAATAAATGAGGTCCTGATTCACCGTCGGCTCATCCTTTTTCTGGAAGAACGGCCGGAATCGCTCTTCGGACTCTGTCAGGTACTGCGGCCAGCCCTGCAGGATCCACTTTCGCACCTGCTGTAACATAGCATCACGGATGGTTAGAACCGCCAACTTTTTGGCACTGATGGGTGCCGCGTTCACAGCTTCAGCGTATAATACATACTCGGGAGCGTCGTCTTTTACGTTATCGGGCTGCCGCCGAGGAATAGGGAGTCGGCTGAAAGCATCTGCGTTTACGTTTTCAGATTCTTTACGATAGGTTAGGCTGTACCGATATCCACCTAACAGCAGGGCCCAACGCTGAATGCGGGCAGCGGCCATCAGCGGAATTCCCTTGTCTGGACTGAACAGTCCGGTTAACGGTTTGTGGTCGGTTACTAGTTCGAAGTGGGTCCCATACAGATAGTCTCTGAACCTGGTCACGCCAAATACGAGGGCGAGGGCCTCCTTTTCCAACTGGGAATAATTTTTCTCGGCTTTTGTTAATGTTCGTGACCTAAATCCGATAGGGTAGCCAATTGCTCCGACTCGATGCGACAACACTGCTCCCAGGCCTACTGCTGACGCGTCGCACTCTAGGCGAATGGGCTTGCTTGGGTCAAAATGCACCAAAACTTTTGCATTCTTCACTGCTTGTTTAGCTGCCTCGAAAGCATTCTGCTGTTGTCTGCCTCAGACCCATTTTACGCCCTTTGCCAACAATGCATATGAGGGCGCTAGTAAGGTCAACACATTGGACAAAAACTTGCCGTAGTAATTTAACAGGCCTGAAAAAGCTTTCAGTTCTCTTACCGAAGTGGGCTGGGGGGCGTCGAGCAGTGCCGTGATGTTGTCGCTTTTGGGGCGTAGGCCGTGTCTGTCGATGCAGTGTCCGAGAAAGGTGACTTGCTCTTGCCTGAACTTGCATTTCTCCCGTCGTAGGCGCAGGCCGTGTTCCTTAGGCGCTGTAGCACTTGCTCCAGGATCCTGCAGTCGTTTGCCTTTTCCGATACAATTATGTCGTCCAGATAAACCTGCACGCCGGGGATCCCGCTGAGCACGGCCTCCATGCGCCGCTGGAAGATTGCTGGCGCTGACGACACTCCGAACGGCAGCCTGTTGAAACAGTAGAGACCCTTGTGCGTGTTAAAAACGACTAGCCCCTTCGAGTCCTCGTCAAGGGGCAGCTGATTATAGGCGTTTCTCAAGTCCAATGTGCTGAAAACTTCTCCGCCGTTGAGGTTCGCAAAGATATCGTCAACCCGCTGCAGCGGATATTGCTCCATTAGGGTAGCTGCGTTCACCGTAAGCCGAGAGTCGCCGCATAATCGCACCTGTCCATCTTTCTTGATTACAGGCACCACGGGTGTGGCCCATTCGGCTGATGTTACCGGTGATAACACCCCTTCGTTTACCAGCCGATCTAACTCGGCTGATACCATTTGTTTGAGCGCATACGGCACCGTCCGCGCCTTACAAAACCTGGGTCTTGCGCCTTCTTTGACTGTCAGGTGTACCGGTGGCCCTCGGAGCAAACCCAACCCAGGAGCAAAGACATCACTGTACTTTGATAGCACGGTTTCCACCATTCTGTCCGCATTTTCCACCTGCAAACATGCCACCTCGTTTCCAGTGAGTACCGGCACGCCTGCCGTATTAAAGCTGCGGATAGTGTCACGGCCGCAAAGCATCGGTCCCGGACAGTCGATGATGAAAAGTTCGGCCTGAATGGTCGCGCCACTCATGGTCGCATTGAGTTGCAATTTTCCGTTGATAGGAAGTGGGCCCTTGAAACACGACAGCTTCATTGTTGTGGCTTGCAAACGTGGCCATTTGCCTCGGTGTCGCTCGAACACTGACCGCGGAATAACACTCACAGGTGAACCTGTGTCTACCAACATCGTGAGCGGCACTCTGTTTCAACTTATCTGGCGCAAAATAGGCTTTACGTGCACGCTGTCCGTCACTTGATGCGTAGTCAGCGTGTATAAAGCTTCGCAGTCATCTGAACTCTCTTGTGGGTCTTGCAAAAGGGCGTTCGCTTGTTGCCTCCGATTAGTGTCTTCGTCCGACGCTCTACACACTCGTGCCAAGTGGCCGCGTTTCCGGCATCGATGGCACACTGTTCGGAGATGACGACAATCATCCGCTTGGTGCGAGGATGCACCACAGCGGGTGCAAGGCCGATGCTCATCGCGAGATAGCCCACTTGCTTTCTTCGACTTCGAACGTGAGAGGCCCGGCCGGACAAAATTCGTTGTGTCGGCTACCGGGGAGGGCAGTGGCTGCATGTGCTGCGCGTTTACGCGGCGGCCTCAGCAGCCATTACGAAGTCTTCTGCTTCCTTCAAAGTCAGGGAACCGCGGGTCAACAACAGACGTCTTACGTCGTCGTCTCGAACACCACATACAATGCGGTCCCGCAGCATGCGGTGCAACACGTCGCCGAAATTGCAGTCTTCGGCCATGCGGCGAAGGGCGGCTACAAAATCCCGCACTCGCTCACTTTCTGCCTGTGTGCGCGTGAAGAATCGGTAGCTGGCTGCTGTTTCGTTGACCTGCGGCTTGTAGTGGCTCTGCAGATGCTTGATGACATCGCTGTAGGTGAGGTCGTTCACGCTTTTGGGGTGGCATCGTTCCTGAAGTACTTTGACGCCGCCGTTGGACAGAGCCGCCACCAGCAGGGCTCGTTGTTTTGCCTCGTCTGTGATTTCCTGTGCTTGAAAGTATGCTTCCAAGCGTACCTTGTAGGCGGGCCAGCCTCCTTCTTTTTCTGTGAATGCAGGCACCTGTCCCGGCGCCATCGCTGCCTGTTTCAACAGCCGCGCTTCAAAGCCTCCTCCCACCGCTTCGATTCGTGCCTCGTCGCCACTGTTACGTCGCGAGTGAACGGCTCAGTGACCAAGCAAGAACAAAGAAGGTTTATTTTGCGTGTCTCACTTTTATGTGCTCGGCGATGGCGATAACGTCATGACATGATTGGTGACACGCTTGCATGACGTAGCAGTAAGAGTAGTGGCAGAAGTGAGGAAAGCAACAAAAACCGCAAGCAGGTTCGTGGGATGCTATTGAAATCATTCGCACTTTCCTTGGCACCCACCACAGTG